AAATGAGACACCGATTTTATAATGAAAAGCATTATACCAAAAAGCTTTTGTCTACTACTTTGAAACATAATTTAGTTCAGCATGTGAGTTGATGTCTTTTTGGGGAGCTCTACTGTGCTGACTTTCATCAGCCACTTCACCAGCTCAAAGAGTAGCACATGGAAATCACTGGTCACATTTCTTAGCCTCTAAGAGAATTCCAAGGCCAGGCAGACCCATTAGTGCCCAGAAATCATCACACTACACTGTGGCACTTCAGATTCAGATATCTTCTGGACCCAATATCCACATTAGGATGATAAACCTAAAGTCCATAGAAGTTAATATTGGTAATAAGTCATTCGTCCATTCTGGATTTATTGAGATGCTCACATAGCTATATGATGAAGATCAACCATGGCCCCCACTGTCACAGAGCTCCCCCTCTAAATCCAGGGACAGATGTCAGACAGGATAATTTTAAGTAATGTAAAGTGAAGAAATAAAATGGAATAGTACAAGTTAGAATTATTAAGTGGTCACGGAAGGCCGCTCTGAGGCAAACACCACCTGAATGATGAAAAGGGGCAGCCACGGAAAGATCCAGGGGGAAGGCATGTCAGGAGAAGGAAGAGCAAGCCTCATGTCCCTGAAGCAGCATGGAGCTCACAGTGTTCTAGACACAGCCAGCTCCAGACGAGACTAAGGAGGGAGGCCGAGCCAGATCGCCCAGGACCCAGTAGGCTGAGGCCGGGAGCCCACTGCAGGATCGCCAGCAAGCAAGTGACAGGATCTTGATGCTTTCAAAGATCGCTTTTATGTGACATGAAGAATGTACTGAAGTGGAGGGAACACAGAAAAAGAGAAACTACTCAGGAAGTCATTGGAGTAGTCCAGGTGAGCGATAGTGCTGTTTGAATGGAACAATTACCAGTGGGATGGAGAGAAATAGAAGAATTTCATATTGGTTTTTAGAGGGAGAATGGACAGGATCTATTTGCTGACATTAACCCCTAACTCCCTAGTTAGAGGCAACTAATCCTACTATAGCTGATATTCTCTGTGTGCTTACTATGTACTGAATAAAATGCTGACATTTCTCACTGTCTCCTCCAAACAACCCCACCAGGTGAGTGCTTGTATTATCCCTGTCTTCCAGGTGAGAAAACCAAGCCTTGGAGAGGCTAAGGACCTGGCCCAAGTGGGGAGCCAGGACTCCAGCCCAGGTCTGACTGCCTCCACAGCCCTTGCTATGCCCCTGATATACTTCCTCTCAAGGGGAAAGTCACCTACTTTACAGCTGCAGCGCTCAGCATTCTCAACTCTTGAGAGGACTACCTGGCATTTAGAGAACAATGCTTTTTTTGCACTCTGGCCACTCTGCACCTTCTAACAACCAACCAATGTGAGGAGGGATCTCGGGCAATCATAAGAGATCTTCACTGGGTTACTTTGAAAAACTACAGTCTGGCCACCTACCTGACCGGCACTGACCTAAGAGGCTAGCACTGCTTTGGGAAAACAACAGATGCTGAAGATTTTGGACCATTCATTTTGCAGGATGGCTGCTGATCTGCAGCAAAAGTGTCTAGGATACATACTGAAATTACTTTTAAGGAATGAGTTTTCATTGCTTAAATGTTTCAAGCTACGTAAAATTTATCCTATCTTTTTAAAGCATTAATATTTGGTTAGCCAAATTTATAGTTCATAAAAGCATAAAAATATATGGAATTATGAGGCATTTTCTAAAACATTTTACCTTACTTTATTAAAATATGCCAAAGAATGTATACCAAATTATAAAGCACCAGTCTAATTCCATTGTAGTTTCTACTTGAAACCAGACAAACTAAATCTTGAATACAAATTGGAAACTTGTTTTCAAAAGGTACAAAGTCCAACATGACAATCCCAAATAATTTTTACTTATCTCCTTAATTACAGCCATTATGCCAATGTGTAAAGATCTTATTTGTTTTTAGCATGGCACACAATATACCACAGAGACCACTTGGTACCACTTAAAAAAGGTTATTCTTGCATGTATATATTTAAAACACTACCAATCCACAAATGTGTATTAACAAGGATAATTTTACATAGGCAGCTTTATACAGGAAATTCCAACTGCTGGATCTCTGCAAATTTTCCAGAAGACCTAACCACCTGCTGCATTTCAGGGCCGGCCATAGTGTCTGCAAGGTCTGGCCCTAATCTAAGGGAAGATATATCACGATGTCATTCCCCACATCAGAACTCAGGCCACACCCACCCTGATTCCAAACCCTGGTCTCCCTTGGTTTGTGGCCTCATACACTGCATTGTTCCTGATCTTCAACCCCTTGACTCCCACTCAGCCTGTGTCTGTGCCATCCTATCCCAGGGAGATCTTAGGACACTGATTCCAGCTCATCTACTTAAACCCAACACCTTACTGCTCACTTCAGTCTGATCTGACAACCCACATTCTAATCTTTGGTGCCTCCTTCCCTACAGGACTCCATGTTCCTCCCTTACTGTTTGATCAGAACCTCCAATGAACTTCATCCTTGGTGGTGATACTCAAGCATCCTGCCCCAGTTCCTGGTCCTTTCCATCATACCCCATTGCTTCTCACAACCTGAGAACCTCACAGATTAGAATTATCCCATAGTGTGTTGAGGAACAAGGTGGACTCTGGAGCCAGATCACCTGGGGAAAACCATGGGTAAATTATTTAACCTCTCTGCACCTCAATTTCCTCATCTGTAAAATGGAAATAATGACAGTATACCTACTCCTACAGCTTTTGTGAGAATTAAATGAAACATGCATAAAACATTTATATAGAGTTAGTTGCTATTACTGTCATTACATAGAATTAGTTCAGAATAAACAGGTCTCTACACAATAAGGGAGCCTAGAAGAAACACTAACATGAGTTTTCTAATTCTCCTGTGGAGAAATTAGTAAACAGCAGTGTGCCTCTACTTTGCATTTAATCTATTTGTCATTAAAAAAAAATTAGGAGTTAGGAGGTATTGAACTATATTTTTCTTAGATTATAGTGAATTCTTATTTTTAATCAGTTTGTGTGAGCCCTTCTAATCCTCATGAGTTTGATGGACAGAATATATCGTACGAATTGTGCAGAGAGAAAAACTCAGCCACAGAGAGTTTGTGCTAGAGGTCCACTGATAAGGAAATGTAAAACTGAGACTGTAGTTCTTAGTTGGCTTTGGAGTATTTCAGAAAATCAAATTTACTATTATTATTAAACATGTTTCACATCTGTTTGTTTCCTCCTAAGTGTGGATGTCAAGAGCATAGGCTGAGTCCAAATCCCAGCTCTACATGACTACATGACCCTGGGCAAGCTAGCTAACTTTTCCACACCTCAGCTTGCTCATCTGCATAAAACCGAAGCATGCTAATACGAATTGTGAGCCTTCAATGAGGTATGAGATAAAGTGCTTAGAACACGGCCTGCCATATAGTACACACTCAACTCACATTAAATGCTGCTATTAACAAGTTGCCAGAACAAAGGATCTGGTGCCTGTGAACAGTTTCCACCTTTCAAGGCGTCAAGATACAGTCTTTGCTAGCACGGTGTTTCCTCAGGGTCCAGCAGGTCCTCTTCATACTAATATTTCTCTCTTAACCCCTATCTGCTTGACATTTTAAATGCACCAAGAAGGTCTCCACCGCATGGCACTGAGTCAGTTTACATACAAACCATCCTCTCCACTGAGCAGCAAATTCATTAAGAAGAGAGGCTGCAATGAACATTCATGTGCATGTGTCCTTATAGTAGAACGATTTATAATCCTTTGGATGTATACCCAGTAATGGGATTGCTGGGTCAAATGGAATTTCTATTTCTAGGTCCTTGAGGAATCGCCACACAGTCTTCCACAATGGTTGAACTAATTTACACTCCCACCAACAGTGTAAAAGTGTTTCTATTTCTCCACAACCTCTCCAGCAACTGTTGTCTCCAGATTTTTTAATGATTGCCATTCGAACTGGCGTAAGATGGTATCTCGATATAGTTTTGATTTGCATTTCTCTAATGACCAGTGATGATGAGCATTTTTTCATATGTTTGTTGGCCTCATATATGTCTTCTTTTGTAAAGTATCTGTTCATATATTTCACCCAATAGCAAAGACTTGGAACCAACACAAATGCCCATCGATGATAGACTGGACAGGGAAAATGTGGCACATATACACCATGGAATACTACTCAGCCATAAAAAACGATGAGTTCATGTCCTTTGTAGGGACATGGATGAAGCTGGAAACCATCATTCTCAGCAAACTGACACAAGAACAGAAAGTCAAACACCGCACGTTCTCACTCATAGGCGGGTGTTGAACAATGAGAACACATGGACACAGGGAGGGTAGCATCGCATACTGGGGTCTGTCAGGGGGACATAGGGGAGGGACAGCGGGAGGTGGGGAGTTGGGGAGAGATAACATGGGGAGAAATGCCAGATATAGGTGACGCGGAGGAAGGCAGCAAACCACATTGCCATGTATGTACCAATGCAACAATCTTGCATGTTCTTCACATGTACCCCCAAAGCCTAAAATGCCACAAAATATATATATATATATATTTTAAAAAAAAAAGAAGAAGAGAGGCCCTGGCTCCCTCTCTTTTCTTGGCACTAGAACTGATCCTGGCATTAAGAGACACTCCACAAATGTGTAAATAATGAATGAATGAGTGTGCCTCTAGATTTTTAAGGAGTTTTAAATTTCAGATCCCTTAGTATAATACAAACCCCCTCCAGAAACTAACTCTTAAGCCATTACTAAGGAACATCTTAGCAGCCATGAGTGAACAGTTTGCTAAAGGAACAGTAACAGCTTTTCTGTGTTTGTACTTCCTGTGCATTCAATACCATGTAGCCCATCACCTACCTGAGACAAAATCCATCTATTTGAAATACGGTCTAAAGTGAACCCTACCTGAAAAAAAACACAAATTTTTTACAAACAAATGTAGGTTTCTAAAATGCTTACCTTGCCTCATAAATGAAAGAGCTTTTTCTTTCAAATTATCTGTCAGTTGTTTCTTTTTAGTCAGATAATCCAAAATGTAAATATTTGGAGCAAAATTTATCATGTTCTGTTCACCACAGCCATAAGGCATCCGAATCAGTGAGGCTAAGCCATTGATGGAAGGACCGAGAACATCTCCTGAAAGCACAAGACATGCAATTCATTCAGTAAATATTCAGTAACTACCACCTGCTGGTGGCAAAGAGACTTCCCCTGGGTACAGAAGGCCTCTGTCATTGAAGCAATATGATTATTCCACTGCTTAGACAGAGTTGAAAATTTACATCAACGTTTTAGGAAGACTGGTCAAAAAATAACAATGCTGTGGTACTGAACTTGCAAATCATGTGGTTTAAAAGGACATTTTTAGCTTAGTTAAAGCTTACAGCATAAATTAGGCAAAAAATAACTTCTTAAGAAAATTTTTTTAAATGTAAGGAATTGATTAGTAGGACACTAACACTTATACAGGAAAGAAATGTTTTGTTAGTAGTATTCTTCACACAAACAAAATTTTATTCTTATTTCTTACTAATATACCACAAGCAGTTGAGAAATAATTTTAAAAAAAAAAAAAAAAGGGCCAGGTGCAGTGGCTCACGGTGGCAATCCCAGCACTTTGGGAGGCCGAGGTGGGCAGATAACAAGGTCAGAAGTTTGAGACCAGCCTGGCCAACACAGTGAAACCCCGTCTCTACTAAAAATACAAAAATTAGCTGGGTGTGGTGGCAGGCACCTGTAATCCCAGCTACTCAGGAGGCTGAGGCAGAAGAATCACTTGAACGCGGGAGGGCAGAGTTTGCACTGAACTGAGATCATGCCACTGCACTCCAGCCTGGGTGACAGAGCTAGACGCCATCTCAAAAAAAAAAAAAAAAAATGAAGATTGTAGTGTTTTCCAATGCGTTCTATTTAGCAAAAACAAATATAAGTATTTCAATTAATTCCTAAAAGGATTAGGAATATTCTTCAAAGTCAGTAATCTAAAATTAAATAAAACACACCCTTTAAAAAACCCTCTACCCACATCCTAACACCGCAACTCACAGAAAGTCGTAAAAATTCAGAAATACGAAGGCTGAGTTCTAATTTTGGTCCTCCCACTGTTAAGCTGTATAGATAAGAGTATCTTTCTATCTAGTTTATTTTGAAAACTTATACAATGCCAAGTCCAAATACCTAGTGAAAATGTGATCCTAAAAAATGAATATTAAAAAAGGGGGGAAAAGCCTGTTTCATGTGAATAGGCTGAAGCTGCGCCGGCATAGCTTAAACTTTAGATGTGAATACAAAGACATCGAGGTTTATTGTTACCACTTCAGGTTATATGTTTCATATTCAAAGTGAACATAAACTTAAACTCTCAAAGTTCAAAGAAGCAAGCCAAAATTTGTACATTCTGGGCTACAAAATAGGTCTTTAAAAAAAAAATGTGAAAATAAACCTTGAAAATCCATTCTTTACATCAAGCATAAAAATTAAGCCTCAGGGTATTTCCATGACCATAGATAGAATTGGTCCTATGTAAGGAGTGGTGGTATATATTTAAAATGCCAGGTTCCTTCCCTCTGTGTATATGTGTGTATGTGCGTGCAAATGGGTGCGCGCGTGTGTATGTGTGTGTGTAGTGCATCTCCCAGCATCCCAACACTGTGGGAGATGCTTAAGCAGAATTTATTCCTCTAAATAGAGAACTTATTTAATTCCTTTTAAGAATTGGCCAGGCACAGTGGTACACGCCTGTAGTCCCAGCTATGCAAGGGGCTGACACAGGAGGACTGCATGAGCTCAGAAATTCAAGTCCAGCCTGGGGCAAACATAGCTAAACCCTGTCTCTTCCCCCAAAAAAGAAAAATTATATCTAACTCTCCAAATAAAGTCATCTGCCTACAGATTGGTTGTTTGCGTTATAATGAAACATTACGCCTGCTGGTGAAATATAAAATAACTATAAAAAAGTGTTTTAGGTCCTGCCACCTTAAAGATCCAACAAACTATTAGATGTCATTAATTATACCTTAAAGATCTAACAAACTATTAGATGTCATTAGTTAAACCGTTTTCTTCAGTTATTTGTAAAGCACAACTATATAAACAAACCATTTGTGATGGTTAATTTTGTGTGTCAACTTAAGTGGGCCATGGGGTTCCTAGATTAAGTATTGTTTCTGGGTGTCTGTGAGGGTATTTCTAGATGGCATTAGCATTTGAACTGGTGAACTGGGCCCAGCACATTGTCCTCCCAGCGTGTGTGGGCACCATCCAATCCACTGAGGGCCTGAATAGACAGAAGCTTGAGGAAGGAGGAATCGCCGCCTTTTTTCCTGCCTCACTACTTAAGCTGAGGTATCTCATCTCATCTTCTCCTAGGACTGGGATTTCAGCTCCCCTGGTTCACAGGCCTTTGGACTCAGAGTGAATTATACTACTGACTTTCCTGGGTCTCCAGCTTGCAAAAGCAGATCATGGGACTTCTCAGCCTCCATAATTGCATGAGCCAATTCCTCATAATAAATCTCCTCTTATACATAAGTATCTCCTATTGGTTCTGTTTCTCTGGAGAACCCTGACTAACAACACCATTTGTGTAGACACTACGTTTAATTAAAAAGTACTTGTAGGCCGGCTCAATGGCTCATGCCTGTAATCCCAGCACTTTGGGAGGCCAAGGTGGGCAAATCACCTTAGGTCAGGAGTTTGAGACCAGCCTGGCCAACATGGTGAAATCCCGTTTCTACTGAAAATACAAAAAATTAGCCAGGCATCGTGACACACAGCTGTAGTCCCAGCTTCATGGGAGGCTGAGGTACAAGAATCACTTGAACCCAGAAAGTGAAGGTTGCAGTGAACCAAAATCACACCTGCACTCTTCAGCCTGGGCTACAGAGAGAGACTTTGTCTCAAGAAAAAAGAAAAAAGCACTTTTAGCATGGAAAATTATAGTTAATAAAAAGAGTACGGTACATTTGAAAATTACTAAGAAAGGCTGAGTGCCGTGGCTCACACCTGTAATCCCAGCACTTTGGGAGGCAAAGGAGGGTGGAACACCTGGGATCAGATATTTGAGACCAGCCTGGCCAACATGGCAAAACCCCATCTCTACTAAAAATACAAAAATTAGCCGGGCATGGTGGCACATGCCTGTAATCCCAGCTACTCAGGAGGATGAGGCAGGAGACTCGCTTGAACCCCAAGAGGCGGAGGTTGCAGTGAGCCAAGATCCTGCCACTGCACTCTAGCCTGGGTGACAGAGAGAGACTCCGTCAAAAAAAAAAAAAAATTGCTAAGAGAGCAAATTTCAAATGTTCCCCCCAACAAAAAACAGTTAAATATTTGAGGTGATTAATACGTTAACCAGCTTGATTTAATTATTCCATATTGTATTCATAAATGATAATATCACTTTGTATTCCACAAATTTACACAACTATAAATTGTCAATTTTTGAAAAGTACTTTTATGTTATGGAAAGCAACTAGGAGAGGTGACTGAAGTCAGTGGGTAACTTCCTACTGTAAAGGTTACTCATATCCTGCACAGAGTACTGCTCTAGGCAGCAGTACTCAACCTTTGGTCACCTGAATCACTTGTGAAAGCTTTTTAAGATATACATGACCAAGCCATAGCCCAAGCAATTCTGACTTAGTAGGGTTAGAGTAGAGCCCAGATGTTTGTGTATTTAGAGAGCTCCTTACAAGATTCTGATATTCACCAGTGGTGGAGAGCCACAGAAGCCAGAAGTTCCGCTCTTAGGAATAACTCCTTTCTCCAGCCATGGTAGAGTGAGGCCTTGCCACTCAAAGTGTGGTCTGGAAGCCAAAAGTATCACCAACATCTAGGATCTTGTTAGAAATACAGATTCCCAGGCCCTGCTCCAGACCTACTAAACCAGAATTTGCTTTTAAACAAGACTCCCAGTTGATTCTTACACACATTGAAGACTGAGAAGAACTAGTCTAGGATACATAATTTGCCAGCCTTCATAATATAATCAGTTGTTCGGGCCAACTAAAAAAAATTTTTTATTGTACTTTAGGTTCTGGGGTACATGTGCAGATCATGCAGGATTATCACATAGGTACGCACATGACAATGTGGTTTCCTGCCTCCATCCCCTCGTCACATCATCCTGATACCAAAACCCAGCAGAGACTCAACAAAAAAAGAAAACTTCAGGTCAATATCCATGATGAACATAGATGCAAAAATCTTCAATAAAATACTGGCAAACCAACTAAAAATTTTTGAAATCTCTTCTCATTAGGACTCAATAAGAAAATACATCTTTAAGGAACAACATATATGATCAGATACAATGAAACCAACAGATGGTGGTATCCTCTATTCTTACCAATTGCAGTGATCTGAACTCTTTCACTGCCAGTCACTGTATTAGCAGGAAATGAGAAACTCAAAGTTTTCAGGGTACTCTGTAGCCTATTGCCAGTCAAGTCTAATAAGACGGATTGTGAATATAATTTTTCTATTCCTTCAGCCTGTTGAATAAAAGGAACACAATTAACATGGTCTCTACTCATATATTTACAGAGAACTATACACAGATACGAGCACAAACAACTGACCTGTTGTGTCTGAGGTTTGTGTATGGCTAAATAAGCACCTACCATTTCTTCTTCTGTTTTCTTTAAATTAGATATTTTATTTAAACAAGTAACACATTTGTTTCACAGAAAGAGTTTTTCCTGTTAGTTGGTATTACAACAAATTACCATAACTTTAATTAATTTTTCCTACTTTTAGATTTTCTCACAAAGTCATTAACTGAAATGTGCTTTTTAACAGGATTTACACTTAATTGGCACCATTTCCATGGAACTGAATTAAATCTGATGACACAGTGCCTACCACTTTGTTATTCTTACTTCAAATCCGTTAGTAAGTTCTAGTCAAATTAGATAAGACATCTCATGGACTGACCACGAAAATGACAAGAAGAAGATGAAAATGTAAGGAGAAAACCCTTTCAGGCAGTTGCTTATCCAAAGAGCAGGGGATTAAATGCCTTGATCAAAATCATACTTGGCAAAACCGACGTTCAAACACAGGGTTGCCTCACCCCAGAATACAAGTGTTTAGTCACTATGCTCATTGTCTTTCTGTTTAGAATATCTTTGGAAAAATATATATATATAAATCTCTTTTACCTTCACTGAAAAATTCCAAAATTTTAAATCTACAAATTGACTTGACCGTGTTTTCACAGGATCGCAACATAACACAGTCTGTAGATGTAACTGACTATAAAAGAGTTGTTCGTCTTTATAGTCACGTTCCTGACTAAAGTTAAAGAGGAAATTGGCAATTATTTCTAAAACATATATATGATTATTTTTACAAACAGATGAGAAAATGATTAGGCATTATGAGAAAGGTAAAATGATGGCCTACTAGACATGCCAAAAAATTTAACCAAGAGAAAAAAAAACTTCTGCTTCCTTTTTAAATATGTATTTCTACTTCACTTATTTCAGACATCAAATATTCACCTTTACGAAAATCATCTGGGTGATAGCATCAGAAGCAGTGGGTGAAAGAGCCGTGACTGTGATAGGAATTTCTCCCAGATGTGTCGGCTTGATGGGAAAAAGAACAGTTGCCCCATCCTCACTGGGAACCAGAATGGTCTGCTGGTGGCCTGTGGCATTTATTTCATTTGAAGTCATTAGAATATCAAATTTGTCACTTTTCTCAACAATTACCTTAACCTGAAAGAAAAAAAATAAATCAAAGCTCTTGTATAATAAATGTTCTTCAGTGAAGTGCTCTTTTATCACCACTTTAAGTGCTGTTCAATCTATGGGGCTCAAGACCAGAGAAGAGATGAGACAAAGATTCAGCCAAGGAGAGTTTCAAAGGGTATCAGGAAAATTTTCACTTATTTTCTATGATTTCCCCTCAACCTCAAGATGCATGGGGAGAGGACACTCTTCAGCCCCATTTCTAGTCCTCCCACTAATATTAAATTCTCTCACTATCTGACACCATTAGGTGGTAAGGATGTGCACAGAAAGGTTATTTTGTATATTGATTTCACCACGAGCTTGATTTAACTATGCCATCCTGGGACATACTGGTCCCATTAGAAAAATATGAAGAAAACATCATGAAAAATTATTGAATTCATTGAAGTCGCTGTAAAAACTATTCCAATGAAAGTACAACTCAGACATTAGTCCTGAAGCATATCTTGGTTGTAAACTTTTGTAAATTATCCCAAAGTTGCCAGCTCATCAAAAATAGCATTTCTCTAGGCTTTACATTTTATAAATTATTTTTCCATTGACGTTTTCCTCTGCTTCTCAGAATATTGTTTGTGGGTATAATAATTACCATTCCCATTTTACAGATGAGGAACAACAATTAAGTCATTTGCTGGTAAAAGGTAGATTGGACAAATTCAGGCCTTTTGGCTCTAGTTCTTGTTACTGGGTTAAAAAGTAAAATTAAAAAATAAAAAAAAATTACTTCCCACATTGTCAGCCAAATATGCCAATAAAAAGCTTAAAAATTAAAATTTTAATTTAAAAAAATCACTCTATATATAAAGTGCCTAAAGAGATTATAGCATTTTCATGTATGTAATAAAGTTAATTATATATCCCTACTTATTCTTGGGAGAGAAAAATCAATCATTTGGTTAACATACTGTGGGCACAACACAAAAAGTGGACCTAACTCCTGCCTCCCAGGGAAATGACTAGCTAAGAAATACAAGGTACATGAATCCAATAGCGTATCCTTGAAAATATAACCATGGAGATTACGAACATAACAGAATGGTGGTCGGGTGCAGTGGCTCATGCCTGTAATCCCAGCAATTTGGGAGGCTGAGGCAGGCAGATCACTTGAGGCCAGGAGTTCAAGATCAGCCTGGCCAACATGGAAAAGCTCTGTGTCTATTAAAAATACAAAAAATTAGCCTGGCTTGGTGGTGCACACTTGTAATCCCAGCTACTCGGAGGCTGAGGCAGGAGAATTGCCTGAACCTGGGAGGCTAAAGTTGCAGTGAGCCAAGATCCCACCATTGCACTCCAGCCTAAGAGACAAAGCAAGACTCTGTCTCCAAAAAAAAAAAAACTGCAGTGGGCACAGAGTGGCAGGGAGACATGGCCACACATTCTAGATGTGGGAAAAACCAGGGGGAAATGCAGGGAGGCAGGAAAGAAAAAGGCATGCTTCAGAGACAATAAAGAACTTTCCTGGTGAAAGCGAAAAACCTATGCTGAAAATTCAAGGAGGGAAGGTGTAGACATGCTAATGATGTCCTTAGACATTAATTAGCAGAAGAAATCACTGGCAAGATATATCTATTTTCAGTCTCCCAGAAATGGATAAAGTGCTTAGAATCCCAAATGCCCAGACACTACACAACCCAATCCCTTCACGCTACCCCCATTTTTTCCTGAATGTAAATGATCAACAAAAGCTTGAATATATTACCTCAGTGGCATCTTTCAAATAATTGAATATAGTTACTTCCAAAGCAAATTCTTCACCTCTGATAACAGAGTAGGGAAGATTCAAAAAAATGAAAAATGGTTGGAAGGCTTGCAGCTGGAAAGAATACAATGAATACATATTTTCATTCAGGTCAAAATTCTTCACATTTTATGCAATTAAATACAATCTTTATAAAACCTTTGAAGTTTTTAACTTCACCTAGAAATGTCTACCAACGGAAAGCAAACAGCAACTTATCACAAATGAATGATGGCAAATTGACTTATGTTACTTAACCTAATAATCTCTATACTTTATTAAGTGCCTACTAGTACAAGCACTTAACATAAATTATTTTGTTTGGTCATTACAACCTCATGAGATTAGTGTTAGGCTCCTATTTTATAGAAAAGAAAATTAAATTTTAGAGATCTTTGTAACTAGTACAAATTCATATTGTTGGCAAGTAGAGGAGCCAGAACTAGAACGCAGCCTGTCTAATCCCAAAGCAATTTGCTCTTCTTTCAAATCGACTCTACCAGTCTGCTTTAAAAACCCTGCCAAATCCAACAGCCCCTGTTCTAGAATGCGACATCTAAATACATGTGCTTGTTGACTAAATTTAAAGAGGAAATTGGCAATTATTTCTAAAACATATATATGATTTATTTTTACATACAGATGAGAAAATGTGTGGGATACGTGAATACATGTGCTTCCTCCTCAGTGATCCAATTCTGATATTGTTGGCCAAGTCCCACCCCAGCATCTAAAACTAAACCTGGATTAGTTTAGGCCAGTGGTTTTGCAGTAGTAACTCCCTCTAGACTTTATCTGGACATTTGTGAAAGTGCCTTAGATTGTCACCATGACACGAAGGTGCTATCAGCAGTTACTGGGTTACAGTCTGCAATACTGAGGATAGTTCCAGACAGTTAAAAATCGCCGTGTTCTCATGATTCTTGAATGTCCCTTCAGACATTCATGTAGTTGAATTGCCTGTTTATAATGGCCTGAGCTTACAATCTAATTCTAATTTCTATATAAACCCAAAGCATTTTTCAATGTACACTGAATTTTTCATGAATACACTTATTTTGTAAATCAAAATTACCATTTCAAAGGAGACAATTCATTTCATTTCAAACAAGACAACTGCAACTTGTTTTATTTGTACCTTTACCAAAAATTGGTCACCATTTTGAAAATGCATACCACCACAGGCAGCATCACTCAAGGTTTTTGACTTACTGAAACAATACACATGTATCAAACTGTATTTGTAGCTGTTACATGCAGGGTGGTTCTATGCACAGCATAAATATTTCAGTACATGGCTATGTCTGGTCACTTACATACTGAAATACATATTATTTTCTTATACATTACTTTCCTTTTATTTCTCCTTAGTCTTTTACTTAGGGCATACTGATTTTTTCTTCTTTTTTTTTAATTGTACTTTAGGTTCTGGGGTACATGTGCAGATCATGCAGGATTGTTGTATAGGTACACACACGGCAATGTGGTTTGCTGCCTTCCTCCCCATCACCTATATCTGGCATTTCTCCCCATGTTATCCCTCCCCATCTCCCCATCCCCACTGCTGTCCCTCCCTTGGCCCCCCCACCAACAGACCCCAGTGTGTGATGCTCCCTTCCCTATGTCCCTGCATTCTCAATGTTCAGCATCTGCCTATGAGTGAGAATATGAGGTGTTTTATTTTCTGTTCTTGTGTCAGTTTGCTGAGAATGATGGTTTCCAGATTTATCCACGTCCCTACAAAGGACACGAACTCATCATTTTTCATGGCTGCATAGTATTCCGTGGTGTATATGTGCCACATTTTCCTTGTCCAGTCTATTGTCGATGGGCATTTGTGTTGGTTCCAGGTCTTTGCTATTGTAAACAGTGCCACTATGAACTTACATGTGCATGTGTCTTTACAATAGAATGATTTATAACCCTTTGGCTATATACCCAGCAATGGGATTGCTGGGTCAAATGGAATTTCTATTTCTAGGTCCTTGGGATGCGCCACACTGTCTTCCACAATGGTTGAACTAATTTACACTCCCATCAACGGTGTAAAAGTGTTCCTATTTCTCCACATCCTCTCCAGCATGTGTTGTCTCCAGGTTATTTAATGATTGCCATTCTAACTGGCGTAAGGTGGTATCTCAATGTGGTTTTGATTTGCATTTCTCTAATAATCACATACCGATGTTTTTTAGAAAGTTGTATATACAGGTGTCTTATACTTTCTATGAATTTCATCTGGGGATGGTAAAAAGGCAACACAAAATGTCTGTTATAAAAGGGGGCTTCAGGTAAAATTAAAGTGAGAGCTACTGGTCTAAGGCCACTCATGGTCATTATATTCCTCCCGCAAGTGACTGGTTTAGGAAACAATATATGATGCAATTTGACTAAAAGACATGATGGAATACTGGCTAGGGAACAACTTGAGAAGTTCTGTTCATTCTTGATGAGGACACATGAAAAGACCCACTCTCTCTCCTCTCCTCTCTCTTTCTCTTGCTCTCTCTCTCTTCCGGCCTTTGGAGATGGTTAGTTCAGGTCAATAATAAACTTTTCTACCCAAATCTTAATATGGACTTTGCACATTTAGCAGTTTATATAGCTATATAGCTATATTATATTCTCAAATATAAAACAGATAAATAGCAAAGACAAAGCCAAGGAATCTCTAAACTGTGATAAATATAAGAAATCTTTTTTAAAAAAATCCACGGAGGAGCTGACACTCTGTTAGCTTAATGTCACCGTAACATTGATAAGCAGCCCTTCAATACAGTACCTCCACTGGAGTAGTTGTTAGTCCAAGACCCAGGTCATCAGAGACCACAAAACCAGTAGCCACCCAAGAGGTGATGGAATCAGGTACAGTTACTTCAAATTCTTGGTAAATCCTGGAACTGAAGTCAAGATAATAATCATAAACATCACAAAACCAAGAACTGATATATTTCTAAATAAGGCAACATAATCTAAACTATGTTTGGAAGAATTTCAGTTTTTCACATTAAACATATCTGAATTTAAAACCATTTAAAAGATTTAAGTATAAAATAGTAGATCCCAACTTCTCAAAGAATAGGTCATCATAAGGTCATAATACTGCATATTGATCCATATTCTAATAAAAATCTTCCTGCAATATTTACATCTTCTGAATAAACATTTCTTCCACAAATTTTGTGTAGATAAGAAATACACATTTTCAAACTTAATTCTAATTTTTTCTCTAAATTTGCAGAAAAGTTTTTATCTGTATCCCTGTCAATGCTGTTATTTGTTTCTTGAGATTTCACGCATGTGTTAACTCAATTATCTTTAAACAGCTGACTATAAAATACTACGTGGATTTCATGATTTACCTGCTCGATTATCAGGCCAGGTAGTACGTGGTTTATCAGCTAAGCTGAATTCCTTCCACCACCCATGCCCCTTGTCCCTGTGACTCCCAGGAATGTTTTGTGAGGAACAGCGTTCAGTTAGCAGCATTGTCAGGGGTCGCAGGAGGTAATCATGAGTGCTTCCCACCCTGTGACAACAAATGTACTCCCAGCAATTTTTCTCTAACAAGAATCACGAAACTTCAAGGAAGTTAAAATTACCCTTCATTCAAAAAAGGCCTGTCTTCTCATTGATGAGAGCTTCTTGCCATAATTTGTGTGTGGCTTTATCAAAAACTGCATTTAGATTCAATAAACGTAATTTCCAAAAAAAAATTTTCAGACTACTTAGTTCTTAGTTACACTATGCTTGTACTTAAACATTAGAAAGAGGGCAAAGCTTCTTTAAAACAAACACTAAACAAAATATATATGGGCAAAGAACTTTATACATTTTTACCCCATGTTGGTGTCTAGCCAAATCCAAGTCTCTGGAAAATGTTTTCGGACACGTGGACTGCTATCCAAAGAAAAGCCATTAATATCTATTATATGTCCTTCAGTTTCATCCATAAACCTTTCAGCATACTCTGGATGGTCATCTATAGATAAACATTAATAATAATTAGAAAAACAGCCACCAGAGAGAATGAATTGTAAACTCCATGCACATGACAAATGTTGATCACTTGAGAAGGTGTTCAGAGACATAATGTCTCTGAAGAAGGTTTTCAGAAAAGGTAAAGGATGCAGTAAGTATTATTGGCAATTGAATGGGCATTACAGTAGGCATTAGGAAGAATTTGATACATAAAAAAGAACAAAGATGGGTAAAAGCTGAGACTAACAAGTGGAAAAAGATGCTTGGAACATTGTCTAGGATAGAAGGTTATATGAGGAAAGCTAAATGTACCACATATCTTTAATATAGAGAGATCATAATGACTTCATGACATCTTCAAGACTATAACATTGTCTTTTAAGTTTCAGGACAGAGGATCAGATGTCCTATTGCAGCAAGAACCAGCCCAAAGAAACTCCAGGGCTTGGCACGGAATAACAGAAATCCTGACAGAAACAGGGAATTCAGGGATAGAAACTGACAGTTCTAGAAGCCTTTCAAGATGATATTAGTATAATTTTACCTGAAAGAAAAGAGAATCCCTTCTAAGGTTAACCATTCTAATTTATACATTTCCTTCAGTCAAAACATTTTATAACTTCTTTCTAAAAGCACACTTATAATTATTTGGTAGCCAACTCTATTTAGCATTCCAAGAAACTAAGATGTGAAGATATGACCCATCCAGGAAGAACTCAGATTGATGAGGATTGTGTGTGTGAGTGTGTATGTGTGTGTGTGTCTCTGTGTGTGTGTCTGTGTGTGTGTACCAGAATACCTTATGGCATGATGGCATCTGGGCTATTTTTGAACTTCAAAAAGCTACAGAACAAAAACATTTCAAAAATATGTTGCTCCTTTTAAATAATTCCAAAAGAATAGCACAGTTTGTGATACAAATTGGAGGCACAGCAGCTTCCAATATGTCCAAAAATATAACTACATCAAAGAATTACCGAGAGAAAATGGAAAGCATTCACTTCAAAGATCTAAACAGGAGCTCAGGTGAGCATTCCATGTCATGGCCCAGATATACTTCCAAGTACATTAAACTCCAAACATTTTAGGACAAGAGAATGGAAAAATGAAAATCGCAACCTCTATGCTCATCTAGAAAATATCCATACCTATATAAGTAATGTTGAATATCAGGTAAAAGACCAATACAAGTATGTCACCATATATTACTTACAAACACCATCAATATAATCCTCCCTGAGGTCTGCATCAGTCAGTACCCAGAGTCCACATTCCTAAAAAGAATAATTTTAATTTTATTTTAAAACACAAACTTATATGCTCCCTAAATTATCAAAGCAGTCTCCCACTCTCTTGACTCACTTTTGCTCATTTTTGAGAGTGTTGGTAAACACATGCACATACATTCAATCTCACTCAAACACACACACACACACACACACACACACACTCATGCATAAAGAGCCATTTCAAAGTCAAGTAAATATATATGAAATATATTTATATGGCAATATATACACATAAAGAAAAAAATTATTTGTTTAATGTCAATTCCATTAACTTTTCCAATGGTGAATTGTTCTGTTTGCTTTTAAAACTCGAAAGATGATTATCTTTCCATTTCAAATACAACTCACATAACATTGCACTTCAGTGACAGATTTAATAAAAGCTTAACATCTCAAAATGATCACTAATTCTGAAAGTTTGCAATAGTAAAAACTAGTAATATCTTTTCAATATAGCAAACAAAACATACCTGAAAGACTGCAAAAGAACTCATGAACATGCCTAAATAATATCCTGTGTTATAAAGTTCCAACTCATGGACCACCTAAGGAGAAGATAAGACATACAGAATGAATGGATTTATAGCAACCTTCCACAACACTTCTTACAAGTAACTTAGATAACTTAGCCTTCATGTTTATCAACTTTGAAAATGACGCAAATTGAGGAGCAATGAATATGTAATTGCTTTATTCATCATTCAATCAGCCAAAATTGCATTTCTTATTTACCCTTACTTTTACTCTGTTCAGCAATCCAGAGTTCCTAAAAAGTCCGGACTTCAGTTCTGCCAGGGAGAACTTACAGTTGCTGTTTCACAAGACCAACACGCAGAGGTCAGCATTAAAAAGGACCCACACTTTTGGCAAAGACAAACAGGTTAACTTTGTTGAAGATTAATATAAACTCTGCAAAATGTCACTGACCTAACTTTTTTAAAAAATATGAAGAAGCAATTTATAAAAGTAGAAATATGTTATTAATAAGCAGAAAAATATTCAGCCTCACTGACAGTCAAAGCAATGCAAACGGCACATCCATGAGATACAGTTTTTTCTAAAATGAGATATTTGCATGTACCCCATTAGCAATGCTTTTTTTTTTTTAAGAACAGTACTCATTGCTAGCAAAAGTCTGTAAAACAGGCTAAAAGAGTGGGTAAAACTGGCAGTTCCACAAAAAATTCAACATAGAACTAGAATACAACCCAGTAATTCTACTCCTAGGCTTATACCCAAAAGAACTGAAAACAACTCCAAGAGACACTTGTATGCCACTGCTTATTGCAGCATTAGTCACAACAGCCAAAAAAGGTGGAAACAACCAGTGCCCATCAACAGAAAAACTGATAAACAAAATGTGGTGTATGTACACGATACAATACTATTCAGCTATAAAAAGAAGTTTTGATACATGCTACAACATGGGAGAACCTTGAAAACACTGTGCAAAGTGAAATAAGCCAGACACAAGAGGGCAAATATTATATAATTTTATTTATGTGAAATATCTAGAACAGGCAAATTCATAGACAGTAGACTAGAGTTGCCAAGGGCTGGAGGGAGGGGGAAATGAGTAGATATTGTTTAATGATTACAGAGTCTCTGTCTGGAGCCATGAAAATGTTTTGGAAATATTGGTTATGGTTACACAAAATTTTGAAGTAATTAATGTCACTGAATTAAATACTTAAAATGGTAAAAATAGCAAATTTTATTTCATTTATATTTAACTACAATAAAAAAATTAAAGTATCACACCTTTTCAGGTAATGATTTTGATACTTCTCCCTAATTTACATTAGCATTAACCAGACAAATTAAGACAAAGTCGGAATTAAAAATCACACAAAAAAATCTAAGTACAAGCTGAAAAACACACTCTAGCATAAAATTAAACACCTGCAACCACTATTTCTGCAATGCTAACAACAACCACAGCTACATCTACAGTAAGCAACTAGAACAGGCACCAATAAGAACATAATCAGAAAAAAATTTCATAATGTCTCAACAAGTTGGCAAGACAATGGAGCCAGAGCCAGGCATAATAAAGAGAAAAGCCTTCAGTTCCATGACTCTAACTCTGTCACAAATTACAAATACAGGGAAATTTGCTTCTGCTCTTGCTCAGACACCAATTCATAGAACTATTCAAGAAGCAGCATTTAAACAGTAGTTATCAGCACAAGATGCTGATAAGGATGCCCTCTCTCCACGCTCCCATTCAATACAGTACTGGAAGTTCTGGCCAGGGAAATCAGGCAAAAGGAAGAAATAAAGGGCATCCAAATAGGAAGAGAGGAAGTCAAACTATTCCTGTTTGCAGATGACATAATCCTATTTCTAGAAAACCCCATAGTCTCAGCCCAAAAGCTTCTTAAACTGACTAAACAACTTCAGCAAAGCCTCAAGATACAAAATTGATGTGCAAAAATCACTAGCATTCCTATACACCAAAAACATGCAAGCAGAGAGCCAAATCAGAAGTAAGCACCCATTCACAACTGCCAGGAAAAGAATAAAACATTTATGAATATAGCTAACTAGGGAGGTAAAAGATCTCTACAAGGGGAACTACAAACCACTGCTCAAAGAAATCAGAGATGAACAAACCAATGGAAAAACATCCCATGCTCATTAATGGGAAGAACAAATATTGTTAAAATGTCCATACTGTCCAAAGCAATTTATGCATTAAATGCTATTCCTGTTAAACTACTACATTCTTCTCAGAGCTAGAGAAAACTATTTTAAAATTCATACGGAACCAAAAAAGTGCTCGTATAGCTAAGGCAATCCTAAGCAAAAAAAAACAAAGCTGGAGCCATCACGCTACCTAACTTCAAACTATACTACAAGGCTACAGTAATCAAAACAGCATGGTACTGGTACAAAAAACAGACACATAGACCAATGGAACAGAATAGAGAACGCAGAAATAAGACTGCACATCTATAACTATCTGATCTTCAACAAACCTGACAAAAACAAGGAATGGGGTAAGGATTCCCTTTTCAATAAATGGTGCTGGGAAAGTTGGGTAGCCATATGCAGAAGATTGAAACTGGATCCCTCCCTTACACCTTATACAAAAATTAACTCAAGGTGGATTAAAAATTTAAATGTAAAGCCCAAAACTATAAAAATCCTGGAAGACAACCTGGCAATACTATTCAGGATATAGGCGCAGGCAAAGATTTCATAATGAAGATGTCAAAAGCAATTGCGACAAAAGCAAAAATTGACAAATGGGATCAAATTAAATGAAAGAGATTCTGCACCGCAAAAGAAACTATCAAGGGAGTAAGCAACCTACAGAATGGGAGAAAATTTTTGCAAACTATGCATCTGACAAAGGTCTAATATGCAGCATCTATAAGGAACTTAAACAAATTTACAAGAAAAAAAAGTGGGCAAGGATATGAACAGACACTTTTCAAAAGAAGTCATACATGTGGCCTACAATCATATGAGAAAAAGTGCAACATCACTGATCATTAGAGAAATGCAAATCAAAACCACAATGAGGCCAGGCACAGTGGCTCACACTGTAATCCCAGCACTTTGGGAGGCCAAAGCAGGAGGATCACTTGAGGTCAGGAGTTTGAGACCAGTCTACCCAACATGGTGAAACCCTGTCTCTATTAACCTACAAAAATCAGCTGGGCATGGTGGCTCACACCTGTAATCCCAGCTACTCAGGAGGCTGAGCCAGGAAAATCGCTGGAACCCAGGAGGTAGAGGTTGCAGTGGGCCAAAATCAAGTCACTGCACTCCAGCATCCTGGGTGACAGAATGAGACTCTGTCTAAAAAAAAAAAAAGCTGAATGAGATATATGTCTCACACCAGTCAGAATGGATGGCTATCATTTAAAAGTTAAAAAATGGCAGATGCCGGTGAGGTTGTGGAGAAAAAGGAACTCATACACTGTTGGTAGGAGTGTTAATTAATTCAGCCATTGTACAAGACAATGTGGCAATTTCTTAAAGACCTAAAGACAGAAATACCAGTTGACCCAACAATCCCACTATTGGGTATATATCCAAAGGAATATAAATCATTCTATTATAAAGACATATGTATGCATATGTTCACTGCAGCACTATTCACAATAGCAAAGACACGGAATCAACCTAAATGCCTGTCAATGATAGGCTGGATTAAAAAAATATGGTACATATGCACCATGGAATACTACACAGCCATAAAGGACAAGATCATTTCCTTTGCAGGTACATGGATGGAGCTGGAGGCCATTATCCTTAGCAAACTAATCCAGGAACAGAAAACCAAACACCACATTTTCACTTTTAAGTGGGAGTTAAATGATAAGAACACATGGACACATAGAGAGGAGCAATACACAGTGGACCTGTCAGGGGGTGGAGGGTGGGAAGAGGGAGAGGATCAGGAAAAATAACTATTGAATACTAGGCTTAATACCTGGGTGATGAAATAATCTACACAACAAACCATCATGACACAAGTTTACCTATGTAACAAATCTGCACGTGTACCCCTGAACTTAAAAGTTTAAATAAACAAATAAACAAACGATAGTTACAGAGGTGAGGGGGGAAGGAAGAGGAAATGAAAAGATGGAGATGAAAGGACAAAAAACCGCAGATATCTGAAACGAAAAAAATGCAGTGATATCTATAACATGAGAGATACAGTTAATAGAATTGTATGATATTTGGAGTTTTCGGTAAATAGATTTTAACTGCTTTTGTCACAAAAATGTAGCTATGCAAAATGATAAATATGTAAATTTGTTCCACTACAGTAACCATTATACTGCCTATATGTATTCCATAACATCATGTTGCAAACCTCAAATATACACAGTAAAATTTATTTTTAAAAAAGGAAAAAAGAAAAAGCAGCATCTATCTGATAAAGAAATCTTCCTGTTCTCGGTGGCTCAATAAACAAAGCATTGTCAAAGCTGCAGCATAGGCTACCCACAAGACGGCTAACCTCTAAAACTTATTCCTGGAAGATCCAATATACTTAAACTATTCCAAGGCATTCAAGAGGCTATTGACAACACATATAAATTTAACAAGAAAAAAAAGAAGTCAAAACAGTCTACTATCACAGGCTCCTGACTCCCTCCTCCAGAACCAACTGGAGAAACAATAAAAGCAAGCAGGAAACTTCAATGTGCACAATGAGAAAACCCCAGGAAGAGTGGTGGACATCTTGAATTGGTCTTGGGAGAAAGTGGGTGGCTTCAGCCTAAGGCAGAAGGCAGCTAGACGCAGCAATAGACACAGCAGTCAGAAAACAGGCTGGAGGAGAGGTTTTTAAATTTTGCCCTTGTTTCCCTCCAGGGGGTAGCCTCAGGACACAATCCTGGCAACTTCACTGCCAGAATCAATAGCAGTAGCAGCTCAACACCAGATTGGCACCTCTGCATTCTAGTGTGGGAAAGTGAGGAAAACATGCAGACAGACCCATGTCCCTCAAGAATTCACTCTTCCTCTCCTCCTCCTCCAAACCCACAGGGCTAGTGAATCATAACCTCAGGAGACTATCCCTTAATGGTGCTCTTTCCCCAAGGGTTTAAGAGTGAAGCTCTGAATAGAGGCAGGCAGCAGAAAGGATCAAGAGTAATTCTTTAGTCCGTGAGGCTAGAACTCTCTCCTCAGAAGGGTTTCACAGGAGTTACACAGATTGGAACCTGATGCTCAGCCTTCCCCAATAGATATTATCAGAGAAGCTGCCAAATCAACTAGACTTCCAAAGAGTATAACTACTGTAAAAGTAATACATCCAACTTGACATGTAGTATGCAGCATGTGACACAAAATTACTGAAAAGGTCAATTCAATAATTTAAAATATGCATAGTAAGTATATACAAGAAGATAAGGGGAAATATTAGAATATAAAACAAAAACAAGATACAAAGGAAAATAACAGATATTAAAAACATAATAGCCGACCTAAAAGACCCAGTATAAGAGATCAAAGTAGGATAGATACAACCAATGAATGATCACTAAGCTGAAAGAGTCCATTGAGGAACTCTCCCAGAGAAGAAAGAAGGTGTCCACACTAGAAGGGCAGAGGTGCTCACCTGAGAAGATGGAAGTAAAAGTGCCAATTTCTGAATAACAAAAGTCCCAGAAATAGAGAGAAAAATAAAATGGAAAGAAAGAAATAATCAACACAGATTTCACAATTTAAAAAATGAAAGAACACCATAGATTGAAAGGGCAATCTATGATAACACAGAGCTAAAATCTGTACACAATCGGAACGATCTGGCCAGGTTAGGAGGAGGAGGAGACAGAGGCCGGGAGGATATAGTAGCATACCAGAAGATTCAAATATTGATAGCCTTTCAAAATCAGCAAGAATAAATTAACATGGGTACAGCTGTGAGTAACAGAGTAACAAAAATAGGAAGCATAACTTCTAAATCAGCAAAACAAATTTAATGTAGCCCACAAAAAAAGTCTAAAATTTAAAATATGAAAAATGCAGAAAACAGTCCCTATTAGAACAAGAATTATCATACTTATAGGTGGATTAAATAAAAACTTATTAAAAGATATTGACTGTTATATTAGATTGAAAAACAAAAGCAAAATATAATAATATGCTATTTAAAAGATACATTTAAAATTTTACAGAAGGTTTAAAATAAGAAGATGGAAAAATACACCAAGAAAATATGAACCAAAAGAAATCTGGGAAAGCAATCTTAATATCTGAGAAAATTTAATGTAAATATACATATATTATATGTATCTATAAATATACTACAAATATATATATAAAACATGTACATATTATATATTAACACAAATAGAGACAGAGCAGAACATCAGAAAGCGTGTGTGTGTGTATGTGTATATATACACATATATGTACACACACACAAACATATACATATGTAGGGAAGAAAAAATGAAATATTTACCAACATATTTAGAAAGCTAAATACTTTTTAAATACTATTGATTTAACTGAATATAATAGCATTAACTGTATATAATAATATTAACTGAATATAATAGTATTCAGTTAAATCAAATGTAAGATCTATAGACTTCTAAAAATAATGTGAACTCAGGAAAAGTCAAAGAGAAAAAAATGACCAATTGGTTGTAAAAAAAAGTTTTCAAAAAAAAGAAAAGATTAAAAAATAGTTGTATAGACTGAAGAAAATGTACAATTTTTCACAAGCAAATTAAACTTTACAATATACTGACCAAATCAACCTAACTATATATAATTTTCTTTCTGATGTATTGTCAATCACTGTACTGAATCCATTAATAGAAATAAATTGTACAATCTAGATTACAACTGACAATGGTACACAAGGATATATCAAGAACATATAAATAAAAACCAAATGACTCATGAATATGTAATTCATTTATGCAATGCTAGATGTTCATATACTTCTTGGTTTGTACGTTTTCTGCAGAATAACATGATTTCACCACCTCAATATACTGCAAACTCCTGATTCAACGGGAACTGTAATTATTTATAACCACTGTATATAACCAAAATAGAAAACACTTCAAAAATTATCTAAAGCTCTCTTATCCAATGTAACCCAGAATTATGCAAGTCAATTTCCTAGTACTTTCTTGAGTGTCTTAAAATATCGTATGAAAATGAAGGAAAACTGTAGGTGGCATTTTTTAATATAGATTTACGGAGTACAATGCGATAGATTGATATCTGTATATACTGTGCAATGATTAAATTAAGCTAATTAACATATCTATCACCTTGCATACTATATACTGATCATTTTCTTTGGTGAGAACATTAAAATCTACTCTCTTAGTAATTTTCAAGTATGTATTACGTCATCAACTACAGCCACCATGTAGTACCATAGACCTCCAGAATTTATTCTTCCCATCTAACTTTCAGTGATATTTCTCATAAAAAACAGCAAGGACACTGCTTCTTTCCAACATAACCATTACAATACAGATTATTTTTTATTTGGAAGGTTTACTAATTATTGACTTGTGCATGCAAAAGAACTAATGAAATTTTCTTTAAATATTTAAAGTAATACAATAAAGTTTCCTTTTTCTCTTGTAATACACATTTTCGTAATTTAAAAAGTAGCTAAACTCACATTTTCCATTGTAATATCATTAGAGGCATTCATGAGATTCACACTTTTGTCAACAGCTACAATCCCAACTATGGAGTCAGGCTGTGTCACAGAGATCCTAAGCGAGACTTTCTCAGATGGTTCAGCCTTTGCTTTACTCCAATATAGCTTTATCTAAGAAGGAGACAAAGCAGGATTAAGTTATTTCACTTTTTTAAAACATATTCTTGACAATAGCAGATCAGTGGCTCAAAATATAGCAGATTCTACATTTGCCTTGGCCCAGGGATAATTCTAAAACTATACATAACCCTTCTCTAGGGAAAGGAATAAAAAACTACTCCTACAGTGTTTGCAAGTCATAAAACTTCTCACAGTGGTATCAATCTGAATTATTCTTCAATTCTGTATATTTTTTCTTTCCTTTCTCTATCTCCCACCCCTCAGATCCCAACCAGTGCTGAGTAGAAGACAGCACTGTCTAACACACCTGAGGAAGGCCAGTATCCAAAAGGAGAAACACAGAAACTGCAGATGCCTACATGTTGGTGATGTGAACTTAGGAGTGAATTCAACGAGAGCTCCCGGGGGACTCATAGAACCACCTGGACTGCGGGTGAGGGAAGGCCTTTCCAAGGAAGGGGGTGGTTAGAGCAAATACTAATCAGGACCCCATGCTCTGTGTCTAAACTTCCTCACCATTATCCTCATGAAAGCATGGTCGTGGACCTACTAATACTTTATAAAGAGCAACAGTCATCACATGACTGCTGAATCAAATGTCATGAGGCCCCTTCCTACTGGGAATTGTCTTTCTTTTTTTATTTTTTATTTTTTTCTGGGCAACATGGCAAAACCTTGTCTCTACCAAAAATATATAAATTAGCCAGTCTCATGACCTACTCTCAAAAAATAAATAAAAAAATTTTTTTAAAAGTACAGATCACTACTGTTACTTCCCAAATACTTTAATAATTAAAGGCAAAAAAAATGGAAGAACCATACTCTGCCTATCACTATTTAAAGCAATAGTTTTTTACATAAGAGACTGAGAAGGCAGCAGTTGTTAGTGAGTGACAGCAATGGCTCATTCTGATGTACATGGGGTGACTCTATCAGGTTTCTTCAGAGCTGGGATCCAAAGGGATTTCCTACTCAAGCTGGTCACTTGAGGTTATAAAAGGCACTGGTGCACTTGGAGACCAGACTCCACGCAGATCCTCACATGCAAGGTAATCAAGCTTATTGAAAAGTTGCCCTGGGCTAGTGTCCAGCTAATTAAATAGATAGTGAAAGTCCAGCTGTGCTTCTACATATTATCCTAGAGGGCCTACCTCCTTCCCACACCCTTTATATCACTGCAATATCAACACCACATCAACACTATGTTACCGCTGGAATTTCAGCCCTGAACAACATTTATTCAACCATTTGAAAAATTCTGAAATGGCTTCATGATCTGAGTTAAAATCTTAAAGACCAGAACCAAATCTTACAAATAGACTACCAATACCCAATAACTCCATATGTGAAAATATATATGTAATGCTAAATATTAAAACATTTAACCATAGTTCTAGAAATGGAATAATAAAAATTTCTAACCAATTTGTATTAATGATACTTTTCTAAAGAAATATTACATTTCTCAGACTTCACTAATATAAAGTTTTCTTTTAAACATCATTACCTTAAATCTTACCTTATTTTTAAAAACAAGCTGAACAGGAATTTTTAGAACATCATTTATAATTTCCCCATCATCTTCAATATAATACACAATTATACAGGCTTTTGGAGTCCAAGAATTTTCTGGGGTTAAAGAGAAGATTGTCGAATTTTGTTTGCCTACAGCCACCAACTGTCCCCTGGATACTACCTGAAAAGAATAGTAGATGGGTTTAATTTATTGCTAACCCTAGTAAGATCTCAACTGAAGCTACATTAATCATAATTGTATGCATACACACAAATTCTTGACTTAAGTCAGCTTCAGAGTCTTTTTGAATGCAGGAAAGTCTCTCTGACAAACACAGAGAACATACACTGAGAAACAGAAAATTATAAGATTAAAGTAATACTGATTGGAGCAACAGTAACTTCATAGTTAAGAATCTAATTTTGATTGGAAGAAATACAAGGCACTATTGGGAAAGTTGGATTAGCAAAATTCCATGGTCATCGATAGTACTTTTTATTTTCTTTTTTGTTTTTCTTATATTTCATAATTTTCTACAATGAATATGTATTGTTTATCAAATAGAAATTTAAAATTTAAACATAATATAATATTTAATTATCTATTTTAAATGGGAAATGCAAATATAGGTGAAGAAATAAAAAAGGCTTTTTTTTTATTGCAATATAAAAAAGACAAGCTAAAAAGGTATGAGGCTGGGTTATAAAAATTAGTAAGTTTAGTGTGGATATAAGGCAGACACCATTTAAGATGATTCTCAACCTAAATGCCCATCAAAGGTACACTGAATAAAGAAAATGTGGTACATATACATGATGGAATACTATGCAACTATAAAAAAGAATAAGATCATGCCCTCTGCAGGAACATGGATGAAGCTGGAGGTCATTATCCTTAGCAAATTAAGTCAAGAACAGAAAACCATATACCACATGTTCTCACTTGTAAGTGGGAGCTAATTGATGAGAACACATGGACACACAGAGGGGAACAACAGACACTGGGGCCTATGGAAGGGTGGAGGTTAAGAGGGAGAGGATCAGGAAAAACAACTAATGAGTACTAGGCTTAATACCTGGGTGACGAAATGATCTGTACAGCAAAACCCCATGACATGAGTTTAGCTATATAACAAACCTGCACATGTACCCCTGAACTTAAAAATGAAAAAATAGATGATTCTACAGTAGATCATCAATTTAGATTCTGTAAGAGATTACCATATAGCTTAACTCCTTCAATTGCTTGTTGCCACGAACCACCAATTCAAAAGGCAGTCCCACCTAGAAAAAAAACTTTAATTAATATGTACATGTCAAAAGCAAAAGAGTCTGATTATATTGTAATTATCAAGTGAATTGTAAGCATTACCTTTATATTTTCATCTCTTGTTTTTAGTTGGATGTATGTCTTACTAGGAGACTTAAACAGACTATGAACTGCCATGCTACTTTTACTACCAAGAAAATAGGCCTATAATAAAAGAAAAGGGAGCCGTAAATATTCACCCTTAGTAACACCTTGAGAAAAGACGCTACCTGCTGAACAATTAGTAAAGACCAAATTCATTTTCAACTGTTTTTATGTGAGAAAAATACATTCATGACATTGGATTCTCATCATTTTATGGCTTATACTGTAAAGAAACTGATAGCTTTAAAACACAGGAAAGGAATATATATATATGTGCATATACATATATATATTTTTTCCTCTTTCGTTTCGGTTCCTGCAAAAAAAAAAATTCAAATGACTGACCTCAAACCCTAGACTGGGGGTTTGAGGAACTTCTCCATCATATCTTCACATTGCTATATTTTACTGTGCTCTTCAAAATGAACTTACAAGGAAAAGTTTAGTGTAACATTCAGCCACTGTCATTAAATTGCTTTAACACTCTCCCCATTTTTCTAAATAGAAACGTATCCACTTCCTGTGCACTTTCAGGTCTGACAGGTTGAGTGCCTACCACAAGATTACAACTGTAACGATGTTGTAGTGACACAATAATGGGAAACAGATGGCACCTTCAACTGTAGTTCACTGGAATCCTCCAGGATTGGGAATTCAATCTTAAAAATTCCATTTTGGGGGACAGTATAATTTATCTTCTGCACAGCTTCCATTTTCTGATTTCCATTGATAGGTCTGCCCCAGTTCTCAGTAGAGTTTGCCTGCGTCACTGTTATGACTACATTATTTCTTCTTTCTTCAAGAGTCAGTTGGTTGCCATCAGCACGGGTTACCTTCACCTAATGGTGAAAACAAAACATCTTTAAAATGCAAAGGATTTGAGTACAATTGAACACAGTTTCCATCTGCAGTATTCTCATGAAACTGAACTCTCAAAAATTATTGGTAGCACTATAATATCCAGATTCAGTGGCCTCTCTCTGGGAGGGATCCAACATCACCGATTACTCCCTTGTTAATATTATGGATTCCCTTACCTTCCACAGCTCCAAAACAACCCCCTGACTTCCTACCTCTCTTTCTGCATCCTCTCAGTGTCCTTTCCAGTTTCCCCTTCCTCTTTCCAAATGTGGGAATTTGGGGCAGGTGTTCTCTCTTCCTCCAAGGTCTCAGCAGTCCTATGGCTTAGCTTGTTATCTCTGCGATTATACCCTGAATCCAAAATTCCTAGCCTCACCTTGCTCTGGAGCTCTTGCCCAACATCTCCAATTACCTGCAGGAAATTTCTACTTGGATATCCTAGTCACCTCAAATTCACACATGCAAAATGGCAACCACATCATTTTCCTATTTTTGCTAACATCACGATTCTGCAAGACTTTACATTTCTGGATTTTCCCTCCCTCTCCCCACCCACAAAATCCAATGAACACCAAGTCCTATCTTCTGTCTTCCATCCTCTCCACTCCCACAGCCACCACCACAAGGCTGCCCATCCACTCACTCCTGTATTACTGCCATCCTCCTGCACACAGCCTGAGCAGTCTCCCCCAAACACTACCTGAGTGCACCCTGAACTTGCCAGCCAGAGCTCACCTTCCTATCTCACTTATCTTGCTCCCCACCTCCCACTCCCATGCCCAAGCATTTAAAACCCAACTAGTCTTTTAAAAAACAGTTTATAGCATCCTCTTTCATAAAGCATCCCATAGAAACCCCCGTGCCTATCCCACAGCCAGCTCTCCCTCCCTGAACTCCCGTGGTTTCACTCACCTCATTCAGAAATTTCCATTTGCAGCCTCAATTTTTTTTAACTTACCTTTTCAGTCTAAATTGTTAAGACCACTGAAATCAGAAACTACCTGAAACTTTTACTGACCCATTCAGCAAGTGACCCCTTCTCTCTTTAAACCAGAGGTCAACCAACTACTGCAAGCTGATAGGCCAATCCAGTATGTTTGTAAACGAAGTTTTACTGGAGCATATTCCACTCTTGCTTATGTATAAATTAGCTATGGCTGCTTTCACACTACACTGGCAAAGCTGAGTATCTGTGACAAAGACCACATGGCCACAAAGCTGAAAATATCTACTATCTAGCCCTTTGCAGAAAAAGTTTGCCAACCCCTGCTTTAAATCCCTGCAGAAATTAATTAGTAACACTTATCTTAATCTACCATGAGTTATAGCTGTGTATATGTTTTCCTGTCACCATCACAAATATGTGAGCTCGAGGGTAGGGACTAAGCCCTTCTTAGCTCCACAGCCCTGCCCAGCACCATGCCTTGCTCATTGCTAAAATTCACGCAATTAATGTGATAATTCAACATTATCAAAAAAAAAATGAGATCTGCTGGTAATTTTTTAATGTAACATCTTTGCCAAAACAAAAATCAATCATTATAAAAACCAAATTGAAATTGAAATTTTTGACTACCATCTAATTCTTTCAATTAAATAATAAAGGCTTCAGTGTAGCAATCCACATCTAACATAAATTGCTTGTAAAAAAAATACATTTTCAAAAAAATATTTTTATTGTTGAAAACAACTTTTTTAGAAAAATTAGACAAAAGTCATTTGGAAACAAATCTACATGCCCCACATATCTAAAGAGACAAAGTTATATACTTTTTGGCTTAAATTTTTAGAAAAGCACTGAAAATATTATTTCCCACTCTATTTCATTAAGCTGAACTTACTGCTATGGACTAGAAATAAATATACCAACTTACAGTGGCTGTGAAGTTGAGAGATGGCTTCAAGACAGTAGCATAATCAAAAAATTCAATAATATAATCATGTTGCTTGAAGAACACATTAGTGCTTGCATTTCTTGAGATACCTTTTTTTGGAAATTACAAACTTAGAAAGCAAAAGTAATGTTTCACCAAAAGCTTCTATCCATCAAATTTCTCCATCTAACCTACTACCAAAATGGTTTAAAATATCAGGGTACATAAGCCTCATTCCCATATTGGCTTTGACACTAAGAGCATCACATGGTTCTCTTATGTTCTCTGTGGATCCCTTCTAAGCACCATTGCTGCCATTCTACCACAATGACATGTACACCAGCAGCAAATTAAGGTCAATGAAAGAATAGTCTTTTGCTCCTTCAGGGATTGCTTAAAGCTACCGAAATAGTAACAGAAAGGTCCAAGAAACTAACCCTTATTTTCTTATTACTGTCTAGGAGCAGCTGAGATTTCAACAATTTTAAAAAGAAGGTAGCCAGCTGAAAATGTAAGCCTTTCCATGTAGTTTTCAGGGGGAAGGAATAGAAATGGAAAAAAATTACAAAGAGCAATCACATGTGGTTGAAGTAGAGACTTTCATAGAAAATAAGGTCCCCCATTATAAAATCATCCTGCAAGTTAGACTAACAGTCATAACAATTTCAACATTAAATAGCATTTTAGAAAGTCAATATGCTCCCAAATGAAAGTGCCAGTTACAATAAGAAAGATGATGAAGTAGTGTCACATATATAGTTTTACCTTCACTTTAACGTCTACAAACCTGTAAGTGATTCTGTTACTGTGGCTAAAATTTCTACCGGTCCAGGAGAAGACAGATCTATGTGTTCAGAAAGTCCATTTGAAAAATCCATTACATTTTTCATCTCTTCATCATTAAAAGAGAAATTTGCCGATCCATTTATCTGTTTTGTTTAAAAGTTCAGTATTATTTTTTATTTTAGCAATTCGAATTTTAGAAATAACACTCAGACTAAGTCACAACAATATGATAGCTCTGGTACCATTTTAATCACTATAAATTGGGTAAATTCTCACTTATTCAATGCTGGAAACCTCTTGATTTTCTTACACTTAACTTTTTGTTAACTCAGTACTAAATCTTATTTCTAGAAAAACTACATATATTTTTCCCCATTACAAGTCATAAAATGTCTGCAAAAGTTACCTTAAATGTTTTTGTAATAATTTTCTTCTCTCCCCAAAAGGATAAAGGTAAAAACGTAAGTGTTACGTCTCCTTTCACTGGCTTCCCATATGTATACCTGAATAATTATAAACATAGTCTTTTTTACATATCAACTTGATATTGTCAGAACACAATAAAAATACTACTTTCAATAGCATATATTTTAGCAATTCAACATTTTTAAAAATTACATTGGGCCAGACATGGTGGCTGACAGCTGTAATCCCAACACTTTGGGAGGCTGAGGCAGGAGGATCACAAGGTCTGGAGTTCAACACCAGCCTGGCTAAGATGGTGAAACCCCATCTCTCCTAAAGATACAAAAATTAGCTGGGCCTGGTGGCAGGTGTCTTATATTCCCAGCTACTTGGAAGGCTGAAGCAGAGAACTGCTTAAAAACAGGAGGCAGATGCTGCAATAAGCCGAGATCGTGCCACTGCATTCCAGCTTGGGCAACAGAGTGAGACTCTGTCTCAAAAAATTAAATAAATAAAAAACAAATGGTGATATTTGAAATTAAGTTTCCAAAATAGGAAGACTTTCAACTATGTACCTTAAAACAGCTCTTAACACACACTCTGACCATCTGAAAGACTCCAGGAGAAAACCTGATCATAATTGGGAGTGACAGTTTCCTGTCCAAAGATTTTTTAAATATTATGTAAATCTTTCACTCCTAGAAATCCGGACTAGCCCATTAACTGCATGCCCATGAAACTTTGCGCTGTAGAAGATTTTTATATTTCAGCGGAAATTGCAATCACCATGGTCTATTCCTGCATGTTCCGATATTAGCCAGGAAGGTTTATTAGACCACAGATTCTGGAGCACCAAATGTGCTCATTGCTGTCAAAAATTGATTTTTTGCAGAAAAATTTAAAATAATAATTTTTTAAATCCATAGTACCAAACTTGGTGTTTTGTTTTGTGTGTGTGTGTGTGTGTGTGTGTGTGTGTGTGTGTTTGAGACAGAGTCTCACTCTGTCACCCAGGCTGGAATGCAGTGGCTCACGCAACCTCTCAGCTCACTGTAACCTCCACCTCCGGGGTTCAAGATATTCTCCTGCCTCAGCCTCCCGAATAGCTGGGATGACAAGCACACACCACCAGACCCAGCAAATTTTGTGGGTTTTTTTTTTTTTTTTTTTTTTTTGAGACAGAGGAGTCTCACTCTGTTGCCCAGGCTAGAGTGCAATGGCCCAATCCTGGCTCACTGCAACCTCTGCCTCCCGGGTTCAAGTGATTCTCCTGCCTCAGCCTCCTGAGTAGCTGGGATTACAGGTGTCTGCCACCACACCCAGGTAATTTTTGTATTTTCAGTAGAAATGGAGTTTCACCATATTAGCCAGACTCGTCTAAATCTCTGACTTCAAGTGATCCACCCACCTTGGCCTCCCAAAGTGCTGGGATTATAGGCACAAGCCAGTGTGCCCGGCCCAAACATAGCTTTTTGAGTCAAACATCATTCTATTTTACTTTTCTATGTATTAATTTTATCCTCTCTCATGATAGGAAAGTCTCTTCATGTGAAGAAGAGGCAATACATTTTACTGCCAGAAAGCCTTTTTTAAATGTATTTCCTGGGTTGTTTCTATCCCTATTGTGAAATGTGAGCCAGAGATGGAAGTCAATTTTGTTCCGCAGTCTATAAATCATAGCAATAAACTGCTGCTTCCTGAATCCATTAACTGAACACAGAAACAGCCCCTCATCTAGATCAACTCAACTTAAAATATAGCATTTTCCAAACTAAGAAGAAAAAAATAATAAAATCCACCTTCAAATGCACCATACTTCCAAACAAAAACAGTAAAGTTAGTAAAAACCCGTTAGCAACCATAATATCAAATTCACCCATTCCAGAACTTTGAAACCTGATCCTACTTGTATCATGCTAAAGATTAAATAAAAGCAAAATTAGAATGCCAGGATATTGTATCTTAACTGAGTTATATCACATGATAGTATATGGATCTTTATAATCCAAATATAATTTAAAGTACTCTCAGACACAAAAATTTTTAATTTTGACTTCAATGTGAAGCAGATTTAGTTTTCCAAACACCAAGCTGGCTATAATAATTATAAAACAAAGATACAATTATTGTCCTAATAGAACCTGGAAGCATTTGGGATAAGTTAATCATTCAGAAAATAAAAGTTTGGCTAATTTTTAAAAAGCAAATCAGGCCGGGAGTGGTGGAGCACGCCTGTGGTCCCAGCATTTGAGGAGACCAAGGCAGGAGGATTGTGTGAGGCCAGGAATTCAAGACCAGCCTGGGGAAAATGACAAGACCCCCATAGTTATAAAGGACAAAGAGTTAGCCAGGCATGGTGGCTCGCACCTATAGCCCTAGCTACTTGGGAAGCTGAGGTGAGAAGATTGCTTGAGCCCAGGAGTTTGGGGATGCAGTAAGCTATGACTGCACCACTGCACTCCAGCCTGCAAGAGAGTGAGACTTCATCACTTTAAAAATAAATAAATAAATAGATAAATAATAAAAAGCAAATCAAAATATTCTAGGATGGTATCATTAACAAAACAAGGAATTTTTTTTCTCTGAAAGCAGCCATAGCACAAAAAGGGACAAAAAGCTTATAAAGCAATACCTTGCCTTCCGATCAGTGGTAAACGAAAAAAAAAAAGAAAAGAAAAGAAAAAGAAAACATAAAATAAAAACCCAAAAGGAGAGGCTTTGGAGAACTTCCAGAGAGCTGAAAACACGGAGGTTCCTGGAGGGCAGCGTGCACAGCTCAGAGACGGCATGGAAGCTCCATGTTGCTTCCCACATGGCTCACCCTACGCATCTCTTCCAGCTCTTCATCTCTATCCATCATAACATCCTTTGTAATAAGCTAGTAAAGTGTTTTCCTGAGTTCTGTGAGCAGCTCCAGCAAATGAGTCAAACCCAAAGAGAAGCTAGTGGGAACTCCAATTTGCAGCCAATCAGTCAGAAGTATAGGTGACAACCTACTACTTATGGATGGCATCTGAAGTGGGGACAGTCTTGGAGCAAGTCATCTATGATCTGATGCTGTGTCCCAGTAGATAGTGTCAGACTTGAATTGAACTACAGGACACCCAATGGGGAGAAATCCTTACCCGATTCTTCATGACCAGAGGTCACAGAAGTCTTCTGTGTTGATTGTTGAATGAGAAAATAAGATAAACTGAATTTCTTTTTTCCTATATCCACAGAACTCCAAATACTAGACTTTTGGTTTGGTTTGAAGACCTTTGCTGTGCTACATACAGCTTAGAGCTGAAATCTTAAGGGTCATATTGCTTATCTATTTATTCTATCCTTTTTCCTTGAGACAGAGTCTCTATCGCCCAGGCTGGAGTGCAATGGTGCAATCTCGGCTCACTGTAACTTCCACCTCCCAGGTTCAAGCAATTCTCATGCCTCACCCTCCCGAATAGCTGGGAGTGTGCCACCACGCCCGGCTAATTTTTGTATTTTTAGTAGAGATGGGGTTTTGCCATGTTGGTCAGGCTGGCCTCAAACTCCTGACCTCAAGTGATCCACTCTTCTTATCCTCCCAAAGTCCTGAAATTACAGGCATGAGCCACTGTGCCTGGCCTATTTTTTCTTTCAATAGGTACATATTAGATACCTACTCCACGGCTAGCCCTGTAGTAGGCACCAAGTTGCAGCAGTGCACAAGTCACAGAGCCACCTTCAGAAAGGTAGACGAGCAAATAGCAGCACCATGTGACTAGTGTTATGAGGGGCATAAAAAGCGTTGAAGGCAAGTAGTAAGTCTTGAAATAGCCTATGTAATGGCATACTGGTCAGAAAAAAGTGTTTTGAATTTTTAGAAGCTAAAGTAAAATTTGAGAGCAGAGTTTGGGACAGTAGAGAATGGGCCGGAGTAGAGAAAGGTGGAATGTTTCAAAAGACATGAATCCAGAAAAGAGCCCTGCAAGATAAACTAAAGAATCTGAACTTCACTCTCAAGGCAATAGTCTGAAAGTTTTCACACAAAAAGAGTGATAAAATCAAATTTGCCTTTCAGTAAGAGAAACAAGAAACTTGATAGCACGCCCAGAAAAGATTGGACGAGGTAAAGCCTGAGTCAGGAAAAACATTTAAGAAACTGCAACAGTAGGTGAGGAGGGAGAGATGATGCTGGCCTGAATCAAGGAAGTGGCTACGGAGAAAAATGGATGGATTTGAGAGAGAGTAAGGAGCTAGAATCAAAAGCTGTGGATGGTGATCGGCTATGGGGATTGAGGGAATGGGGAGAATGCAGCTGATGGGAAGCTAACCCAAAGGTGGTACAGTCTACCAAGAGAGATATAAGAGAACAATCAGGTTTGGGGAAAGATTATTTGTTTGCTTTAAAGTACCTGTGGGATCTTCTATAGGGACCTACCAAAAAAGAGAACGAGGAAGAGGAGGAGGAGGAGGAGGAAGGAAGAAAGAAGAAGAAGGAGGAGGAAGAGGATAGAGAAGGGAGGAAGGAGGAGGAGGAAGGAGGAAGAAAGAAGAAGCAGGAGGAGAGGAAGGAGAAGAAGGAAGAAAGAAGGAAGAGGGAAGAAGAAGAAGTAGAAGGAGGAGGAGGAGGGAAATAAATAAAAGCACCTGTGAGAAATGTCTAGCAGGCAGTGACATAGCAGTGTCTGAACCCCAAGAAAGAAATGTGCGGCTGGAGATGTGATATCATCAGTTATAAGCAGTAGCAGAAGACCTAGGCATGGAGGAAAAAAAATCTGAGTAATGTATAGAGAAAGAAGAGAACCAAAGTAGAGCTCTAAGAAAGAACTTTTCTTATTCTTCATTTTTTTAGGAAAAAAAAAAGAAATTGGGTCTTGCTTTATTGCCCAGACTGGAGTGCAGTGGCACAATCAAAGCTCTTGCAGCGTCAAGTGATCTTCCTGCCTCAGCGTCATGAGTAGCTTGGACCACAAACGTCCACTACCATGCTCAGCTATTTTTTTTTTTTTTTTTTTTTTTTAGAGACAGGGTCTCACTATGATGCCCAGGCTGGTATCAAAGTCCTGGCCTCAAGTAATCCTCCCACCTCAGCCTCTCAAAGCACTGGGATTGCAGGAATGAGCCATTGCACCAGCCTTGAAACAAGAACTTTTAAAGATGGACAGAGGGAGTTACCTGCAAGAGTCTCAAAGGAGTAGCCAAAGAGAAAGAAGGAAAACCGGAAAATAAATGAGAGTGGACAACAATGTCATAAGCTGCAAAGAAAAAGTTGTAAAAAAAAAAAAAAACTAAAAAAAAAACCTTAAAATCTACACACAAGATTAAGCAAGATGTCTTTGCAACCATGGTGAAAGCAATTTCAATGGCATGGTGAAGGTGACAGGCTGATTGCAGGTGAATGAAGAATGAACAGAATATGAAGAAGTGGAAATGAAATTCTAACTGGCTGTGAAGACGAGGTGAGAGATGGGGCAGCAGCTGGAAGGCGGCGTGGAGGTAAGGAAGGGTTTGTTTCTTTTAATAACACAAACGACTAAACACAGAGTGAAGATCCTACCAAAGAACAAAAGGTTAAAGATACCAAATGGAAGAAATCAAGACACAGGTAAAAGAGGAAGCAGGATTGTGATTCTCCTGATTCAGGAGACGGTGTCCAAGGCCCAAGTGGAGGAATTCGCTTCTGAAGGAAAAAGAGGTGTTGCTTTCATCATGACAGGCACAGTCAGGATGATGAGGAGGGCCTACCTTTTCTGGAGCACTATTTATAGAATAGTACATGCCAGTATGTGCACGCCAAGTTGTATAGACTGATAAAAGACTTCCTGCTGGTCAAAGAGCTTTCTTAAATCCGTTGCAAACTTGTAAATGATATTTTCAGTCTGATTCTACACCTTGGAGGCAACAACAGACTCTCTTGGAACTGTACTGGTAGGCCCAGAACTCAGGACAGCTAGGGTGAAGATGTGATGTTCATCATTTACTCACAGCCCCCTGGGGAGAGACGCCTCAGCCACATGGTGGCCATTTCTCTGAATCACGCAGGAGATCTGCGCCACCCTGGAATATATAAATCTACCACTGGCTGTCCTTCCCTGGTTGAACCTCAACTGATGCACATACTAAGAAAAATGATAAGAATACAGCACGGTGAACACTAAAGAAACGTCACGAGGCCATCACAATTGTTATGTTATTAGCAACCATGAGGGTCTCCAAGAGGCTCAACCATGAGAACCATGATGAAACAAGTGCTCCCACCAGGCTAGGGAGGAGGGTGTCCATAGTAAGGCTTCAGGGAAACCCATCACCCCCTAAAATTACATGTAAATTTTTCTGGAGAGTCACCAAAGTTTAACAACCACTGCTTTAACTTAGTGTGTTAAATCACTGGCACACCTCAAAACCAAAAACAGAACAAAAGATGACAGCCAGACTCAGCCCAATCCATGTGGACGTAGACTGGGCAGGTCCCACACAATGTCTGTGTGGATTTGTACCCACTAACTTTCATGAGCATTAGTAAAAGAACTCAAAATGAAACCCAGAATGCTTAACCTTCAGCTAAGATCAAGTACTGTATGATAATTATGGGAAATGCAGACATTTACGCATTGTCTAAACCATTAATCCATTCACGGTACCCAATGCATATTGAAAGTTAGCTGTTAGTTGAAATCTAACTTGATACAAATTGTAGACACGTTTTGCCTTTATGTTACATGGGTTTCCTATAATTTTTTTGCCAGAGTCTAAAATAGGAGTCCTCAGAACATTTTGGTCTATGGTGATGCTTCTGCCAGGAGATTCTCTGCTGCCCATCCTTTGACATGCCATGGCCACAAACCCTCACAAGGCGAGGAATATAGTGAGAAGATGGCAGAGAGGTGAGGTCCAGCTTTTATTAGCTTTTAGAAGTAAATTCTAAATATATTTAAGAAACTAAATATATTTGAGAAACCAAAAGAAACCAAAGCACAGATACTCACACAACAAAAATAAAAGCTACAGGAGACCAGTCCTTGAATTACTTGAGGGCAATCCCAGCCTGCACTTTAGAGAACCATTAGTCTGGAACTCTGACAATGTTTTTTGCCTCAGCAAAACAAAACGCTATGTGTTGTTCAAGCTAGTGACTCAAAATCATGACAGCCACCATAGACCTGTTCCATAACGTGGGTTGGAAGTCTCTGTGTACACATGATATAAAGGATAAATGTGGATTATTTACTCATTTGTTAATTGCAATAAGGCAACCAATTCTCTCCCTCAAGAGCTCTACCTCCATTATCAATGGGAAAAAAATAGAATTTAAGAAAAGATAAGTTACCTCAATTCCATGTCATCTGAAAAAAAAACCCGAGTGCTATCTATAATGTAAATCCCTTAATAAGTCTAAGACAGACACTAGTCTATGGGAAATATTTTACGACTGGGTCAGCTTGGAAGCAGAGCAATGGATGCAGAGATCTGTCCCATGCTTAATTATTTATTATAAATAGTTGTTTCCTGTCCACTAAGGTATTTTAATAAGCAAAAATTGCCCTAATATTCTGGAGGATATAATCAGCTTTTAGTCATACAGTTTGACAATGGTTTTGAATTATATCAAAAGAAAAATGACACTTACTTTGCCGTGACGGTACCATTTAAATGCTTAGAATTCATAGAACAATATAACGGTGTCTGCAAAGCCACGTCAAACTTTGGTAATACTGGAAAACAAAAGCAAGGGTAAATCTTTTTAAAAATCTACTTCATTATCATCTTCCACTGAACAAAATGAAAAATAAATTTGTTCTGATGGAGTTGATAATTTGTACTATTTGAACTTAAATTCATTAGAATCCAAATACATGTTAACACAGATGAAAAGCCCTTTGTTTTACCCAAAGCTAGAAATCCCTAGTTTGGTTAGCTTTATATAATTAAGGTATGAGGCTGGGAGCAGTGGCTCATGCCTCCTAGCACTCTAGGAGCTTGAAGCAGGTGGATCACCTGAGGTCAGGAGTTAAGGCTAGCCTGGCCAACATGGTGAAACCCTGTCTCTACTAAACATACAAAACTTAGCTGGGCATGGTGGCACACACCTGTAATCCCAGCTACTTGGGAGCCTGAGGCAGGAGAATCACTTGAACCCAGGAGGCAGAGGTTGCATTGATCCAAGATTGTGCCACTGCACTCTGGCCTGAGCAACACAGTGAGACTCTATCTCAAAAAATAATAATAATAATTAAGGTATAAACTATTTTGAAAGTATTAATACTATAATTGATATAAAGCATTCTACCAGAGTAAAAAATGTGTGTTTCTTTCCAATCTATAAAACTTTTTTTCTATAGTTCTCTGACCAAAGAAATAGGTTACTCACATAACAAGGCACCTCACCATTCAATTAACATAAGAGAAGTATCAAAATACCGAAAGGGGTGACAATATAGGGCAGACCTTCAGCTCCAATCATGGCTAATGGCCCTGAATATGCCAAGACACTGCTAGACTCTAGACCAGTCTAGGACAGAGGAGACCAAAAAAGTCATGTGAGCCAACTTGACCCCCCCAACCCTCACCACTAAGGAAATCAAAATGCCTCTTCCTCAAACATTATAGGTTTGTAATCAGTTCCCCACCTCCACTATACCTTATTCAACAACATACGACCACCCAGCATATCACCACAATGGGATATGAAGATAGCCTATAAAATGTTGGTCCCCTGTGATTTATTCTTCTAGATCAGGGCTGTCTAAAAGAAATAAAATGTGAGCCACGTGTGTAATTTTTCGTTTCTAGTACCCAAATTTTAAAAGTAAAAATAAGCAGATGAAATTAATTTCTATATTTTATTTAACCCCATATATCTAAAATATTATTGTTTCAATAAATAATCAAAATAACAAATGGTAATTAACGAACTATTTTTCTTTCTTTTTTCTTATACTAAGTCTTTAACATCTGGTGTCTCCATTTGGACTAGCCACATTTGAAGTGCTCAACTGCCACACATGGCAAGTGGCCCCCATACTGGGGAGCACAGTTACAGATCAGAGTTCAGTAAACGATGACCAGCATGAACTAAGAACATTTTTTACAATTTTTAACTGGTTGGAAAAAAATCAAAAGAAGAATAATATTCATGACATATGAAAATTATATGAAATTCAAATTTTCATGCCCATAAAATAAGGTTTATTGCAGCACAGATACATTCATGTACATACTATCTTTGGCTGCTGCCGCTACCAAGGCAAAGCTGCGTAGTAATGACAGAGACATATGGCCCACAGAACCGGAGGTACTACTATCTGGATATTGTCATTTCTACTGCCTAAATAAAACCCGAGCTCAAAGAGAGCTCAAATCAAATGAAAAACTGCATGTGTAACCTCAAAATAACTATTCAAATTATAGCTAATACTAAGATCCTATGCTTTCACTCTCATCTGTCATTCCTCTCCATTCACCAACAAAATAGCTGAGTCCCATGTTTTAATCTATGCGTTTCTAACTGTGATATTATAAGTATGGCACCTACAAGAAGAGGATTTACCTGAGTTCAACAGGCTGTCTTTACAAAAGCCAATCAAATGAAAACTGTGGAAGATAATTTAAGTATTTTTAAGCACAACATTTTAAATATTTTATGATCATGACAAAGTAGAAAAATAGATTGTGTTGTGCATAAGAAAAAGACTAGCGTAATACAACTATAGGTGATTTTTTTTTTACTTTTTTCTATAAAATGAGATTTTAGAATTTTTACAGAAGAAAAAAATACATTTAGGCCTATTAAAAACACCAAAATTTTAACTCCATTGGGATTTTTACTTCAAATAACACAATCCTTAAACATTTCTCTAGTCTCTCCTGAAAGTAACAAATGTTTTTTTCTTCCAAAATAAATTGAGGAACTCTTACCATATTCTGAAACCTGAAATGATTGGTAATATGTCTGGTCCTGTAGGGCAGGGGAAAAAAGACAAGAAAATATATGAGATCTTATTTATTTTTCTTGCTTGCTTACTTGGAAAAAATGATTTAGAAAATTAATCTTAAAATTACATTTATAATGATGCAATGAACAAACCTGTTTATTTTCATTTATGGAAGTGTATTTGTGGTCAACTGCAACAGGAAGCCTGTAAAATTTCATGAATTTTTCTTGCCAACTCGTTAGCATAGAAAGGTGACCTATCTCTATAACTCATTGGAGGTCATTTAAACAAACTGCTTAATCTGACTTCCATGATTTGTGAAATAAGAATCAGATTAAAATAGATAATTCAGGAATTTAAGAAGCAAGGATAACACAGGTCAAACTAACAAATAACTTCAGATTTGTTTTGGATACCATTATCAAAAAATAATGGAGAAAAAGAAGTCACACATAACTCAAATACTTATAAATAATTAAGGATACAAAATCTTCATAGAGCAACATCCTTCACCTTTCCAATTCCTTGAATTATTTCCTACTGTAATCCTTAAATCAATACAACCTGTGTGGTTATAATAGATACTGTTAATTATTTCCTTTTTGACAATCAACAAGAAAATGTAGGCTATTATTGTATCATTTATCTAACTCTTCATATTTCTTCTTTTTTTGTTTCTTTTGTTTTTTGAGACAGGGTATCACTTTGTCACCCAGGCTGGAGTGCAGTGGCACAAACACAGCTCACTGCAGCCTCAACCTCCTGGGCTCAAGCAATCCTCCTGCCTCAGGCCACCAACTCTCTGGGACTACAGGCGTGAGCCACCATGCCCGGCTAATTTTTTGTTTGTTTGTTTGTTTTGTATTTGTAGTAGAGACGAGGTTTTGCCATGTTTGCCATGTCTCTTTTACCCAGGCTGGTCTCAAACTCCTGAGCACAAGCAAACTGCACACCTCGGCCTTTCAAAGTTCTAGGATTACAGGCGTGAGCCACCATGCCCAGTCAATTCTTTATATTTCTAAATGTTCATTCTAAATCAAGGTAGCACATTAAATGAATCTCTCCAAATTGACTATGTAATTCCACTAATGAAATTTGTACTGTAAATTTAATTCCCAAATTTATCAAATCAAACACAGAGGTGCGGCTATAAAATATTAGCTTTTTTGAACAAGTACCCTTGGTTAATCAAAAACATCTGTACACCAAGAGGTTATTTTTTTTTTGTTTGTTTTTGTTTTTTGTATTTTTTTTTTTTTTTTTTAGTAGAGACGGGGTTTCACTATGTTGACCAGGATGGTCTCGATCTCTTGACCTCGTGATCCACCCGCCTCGGCCTCCCAAAGTGCTGGGATTACAGGCGTGAGCCACCGCGCCCGGCCGAGGTTATTTTTTAATCCTAAAAGAAGGCTATAGTTCACTTCAAAATATAAAACAAATATAACCATTAACATACTAACAAATAAATCATGTATAAATTGACTTCAACATTATCATGTAAAGAAGATCCCATCTTTGGTTAGCTGTTGTTGAAAAATAAAAAAATTTTTTAAAGAAAATCTCAAAGAAATTCTGTTGTTTTGATCAAAGTCTTAAGGAACTTCATATTTGTGACTTCTATCTCAAATTGTTTTTTTTTAATATAGTAACATTATAAATTACATAAACTTGATTCATTTATAAGTTCTAACGTGTCATTCTCAAACGTCAAATCAAGAAGGTAATTTACCTATTACCTGTTTTACTGATGAACACAGAAATGCTAGTCTTTAAGTTAGTTTTTGCTTTATTACTGACGCCAGCACAGGCAAGGCTATGGAATAAGTAACAATTACAATGTTTGTGTTCATCAGGTTTCATTCATATAGCAAACATTAATTAAATAAATACACAATACAAAACACCATGTGAGGCTCTATGAATTACAGTCCTCGGCATTAGAGAGTCCAGTGGTGGAGACAGACATAGTCAAGAACAAAAATTCAAGACTGACAGCTGTCCTGGAGTTTCATGCACTGTGCTTTTGCTCTAACTGTTGCCTATTCTATTCTTGACTTACATGTACTTCCATTCCTCCCCATTTTCCAGGGCTTAGCTTAAATATTACTACTTCACTTTGTGATCATCTTTGTATCCTTCATAGTTTACCCCTTGAGGTGCAAAACTCTCATAGCACCTAGTACAAAATAAGTGCTGAATAAATATGTGTTTGATTAAATTAAAATTTTGAACGTTTACAAATATAGGAAATCAACCTATTTATTTGGGCCTACTTTAAACAACAGCCTAAAATTAAGATCTAGGCCATTATTGGTTTAACACATAAGTAGTGACATTAGATTATATTTGAAATGAATTCCATCTCTCCTCAGCCTCCTGCGTTGCCAGTCCCTGATCAATCCTGGATTTTCCATCTTTCCATTGACTGTCTCCTTCCCCTCATTCAGTCTCTAAGCACTCTTGTCTTTTGTTCTCTTGGTTCTCTTAAATATCTCTCTGACCCCTTCCTTGTTTCCTTTATGCATCTCTTTCTGATCGTTAAATGTTGGCCTTTCCATACTAAGCCCTCTTCCCACTCTTCAGGCTCTCATCAGCTCTCAGGGTTTCAACTGCCTTTCTGGAATAAAGGCACCTAAATCCTTATCTCTATCCCAGATTGAGACTCAAATCCACCTGACAGACATCTCCACCTGAATTTTTGACAGAATGTCCTGGATTTATTATTCTGGATTTAGCCTCTTTCAAGAAGCTTTCCTTGATTGCCCTCTCCCCATGGTAAGTTAGATGCCCCTTCTCTCCTATAATATCCTGCCTATAACTCAATCATCTTACCTAACACAACATATGATAATTACTTGCCTTGTGTCCATCTCTTGTAAGAGACTATGAAATCCTTGAGAGCACAGCCCCTAGTAAATCATGTCTTCAACATTTGTTGAATAAACGTAAGTATAAATCAATAAACAAATCAATTCTTGTCCCCAGTCTGGTTCTTACAGTGCTCACCAGAACAGCCTCAGTTATCAGGCAGCATCTCCTGCAACACATTAAACTAATCTTCTCTTGAGAAGGATCAAACTACCCTGATGAGGCAAATGACCCATAGGGTAACCTTAAGTCTCTGCCCTTTACTTGGAAGCAACATGAATGCCAAGCAGTGGAACCATCCAGCCATCACAGAAAACTGAAGAACACAAAGGAAGAAAAGCACTGACATTTTAAATTGTTCCAAAAAATCCAGAAAGCATTTGGTAAGTGAGTGCTGACGGTGTGCTTTGTACTACACCATGTCTTCTGAAGATGCTTGTAAGTGGTAAAATGCAAATCAACAAATAAATTATTTTACTGTCCACGGGATTTGAAAAGCAGAAATGAGTTTTGTAATGTCCAACATATTCTCCATTGGGCAATCAGGCCATACCAATTTTCAGAATTAATTCAGTTATTTTTACAAAATAATCAAGTACAGAAGACACTGACATATTTAAAATTAATAATAATTCAGAGAATTAACAGCCGTTTATGCCATATGTAACCACAAAAGCACTGATACTGAGTACTTTCATTAATCTGGAACAGGGATCTGCAAACTTTTCCTGTAAAGAGCAGGATAGTAAATATTTTAGGCTTTGCAGGCCATATGGTCTCTGTCAACTACTTAACAATGCTGTTACAGTGCAAGTGTAGCCAGAGACAATTTGTAAACAAACGAGCACGACTATGTTCCAATAAACCTTTATTTACAAAATGGGTGTCAGGCTGCATTTGGTTTTTCTGCCAAGGTTTGCTACTCTCTAGTTTAAAAAAAGGAATAAAATGTATTTCTAAATTGTTCTATGTTAGTTCTAGTTGAACTAAACTAAATTTGACTAAACTTTACTAAAAGCATGGAGCAAAAAAACTCTAATCCTTTCATAGGAAGTACAAGTTTCTCTTATTAAACCATTTTCCTTCAGTTTCAAAAAAAATTTATCTGCTTAAAAATGAGTATTTGTCTTCATTACAGCTCATCAAATACAGTTTATGCTCATTCACCCTGCCAACAACTGGGAAAAGGCTAACGTGAAGGCTCAAATACTTGAGCAGCGTGTCCTCCAAGCAAACACCTCCCAGGCAACAGAAGGCATAACTCATGTCTTCTGAGCTCTTCTTTCCCCAATATGGTCACTGTTCCATGGGGAAAGCTCTCTTTTAAAAACCTGCTCTGAAGTACATGCATTTACTCTCTGTTTCTACTGGATGTAACCTTGGCTTGATTAGATTTTCTAAACAGCTTCTAAAGCAGGAGTAGAAAATAAGAATCAGTAGATATTCTTAGCAATCTCTGTAATTTTTCTACCTCTTGTCCCTCAGTCAATAATTCATTATGAGGGTGTATGTTACAGAAATTAGTCAAATGAAGGGGGAAAGAGAAAACACATTATTTTTACCAGGCTTTTAAGAAGTGTGCTATGACTAGAGTACAAATTAGAGACGTGAATTACTGAAACCATCTATTCCAGTTACAGAATTTTTCTTCCCTAACCATGATGCCATTCAACTCTTGAAAAATTTCCATTTTTAACAAATTTGAAGAAATATAGCATATCACATGACAATTAAAAATATATTTTAAAGCAGGTCAGTTTCTTTCAACTCTTGCTTCTGGACTTAAAAGCAATGCCAGAAACAAAACAAAGGTGCTGGTTGGACTATTTCTGTTTGTACATTATGTTCGTTTATGATCATTTCAATTTCCTAGTAGTTTGCTTTAGCAGTGCTCTCCACACTCCAGTGTCTGGATGTACCTTTTACTCAATATTAAGAAAGGCACTGAATTTATTAAATCTGCACTTAGTGGGACGTTAAAAGGGAACTATTTCAGATTCAGTTTCGCCTTTGGCCCCCAAGAAAACAGATGTCAACTATATCCACATTCCACAGGTTAAAGATTACCAGGCAGGACTTGCAAAGGAGGTTTCCAAAAACTGGTTTTGTAACTCATAACCCATCACCAAGGTGGAAAGGTAAAGATAAAAATAAA